CCCCCCACTGACACCAACAATGGGGCACTTTTCCTCCCCCCAACTGACACCAACAATGGGGCACTTTTCCTCCATCCCCCCACTGACACCAATGATGGGATACTATTCCTCCCACTGACACCAATGTTGGGACACTATTCCTCCCACTGACACCAATGATGGGACACTATTCCTCCCACTGACACCAAAGATGGGGCACTATTCCACTGACACCAATAATGGGGTGCCTCATTTCCCACCCTCGGCTTATACTCGAGTCAATAGTTTTTCCCAGTTTTTTGTGGTAAAATTAGGTACCTCGGCTTATATTCAGGTCGGCTTATATTCGAGTATATACGGTATATATATTTCTTAACAAATTCTTTATTTCTTAATTTTTATGGACAGTTTGAACACTGATTTATTTATATGATTATTTATTTATCAATATTTATTTCATATAGTCACTTGTTCACTTTTATATATGCATGATTTATTGGATATGAGTTTGATGAATTGTTTGCACAAAGTACCAATTCACCTTTCACTATTTATATATTGATTGATTACATAGGTTTTTTTCTTTTTTGCACTAATATTGATGCAGACCACATTTGTTTTATATTAATAGAGATTAATTTGGTGAAGATCACTGTTCTAATCAATTAATTATCTTACAAATCACCACTGGCTTTCATTATGTATTATAAAATATATGGTATGGGGGTTCTTTTACAAACTCTGAAAGCTAAAGTGAAAATGACAAAAAAAGTAAAAAATTGCAAAAATAATCTAGCCACCTGTGGTGAACCATGGAAAACAGGACCAGGCAGGAAAAGGGTCAAAAGACCCAAGTTTCATTTGACGAACAGTTATATACACAATCTGGACAATCAAAAAGTAGCAGGACTGTAGTTAATCTCCTCCAGATTTCTTCATGTTATCCGCCAGACGTTTATTCCAGAAAACGTGATTTGTTTTTAAACCAGTGAAGGTATCTGGATATCACAGGACAACCAGGTGTATTTCACTGTACATTAGATTTTTAATCTCATTAAAACAAATTAGTGTGCTTTTAAAACATTTCACACAACAGCTCATATAAAGGCACACTTAAAACTTATGCACATTGACACGCATTGACATTTTACTTTTTTGCACTGTATTTTAATATGCATTGAACTGCGTTTTTTGACCATTTTTTTGTAGGCTTATTTTTAATATTTCTTCTTTACAAAACTTTTTTCCAGCGGTGAAGAGATTGAGAGATAAAGAACTTTGATGACTAAATGTGAATGCAAAAGCCAGTTTTGTACCTTATACCATGATCTGCAAGGTCAAGCAGACAAGTCTTTTTGTTATGCACAGACATGCATCCAGAAGGTAAGTGTCAAATTGCACTGCAAGGTGGTTGCACACAAACTCAGGAATTTTATTTCTGCAAACTTTTTCAGGAGGCTGTGGAGTGGAATGGTTACTCAATTGAGTGGCACAGGAAGTGAATAAGATAAGTATTTTGTCTTCTTTTACAGTGTATGATGTTTTTGCTTTGCAAAATAATGACAGGACCAAATCAAGGAACTTTGATCTTCATGCATATGTGAATATTCACTTTAATTACCCAATCATTCCAATTTACTTTTACCCCCTTCCTGCAAAGGTCAATTTTTTCAGAAAAATTAATAATGTTCAGATTAACCAATTAAATACTGGGCACTTTTACCCCCATCCTGTACAGGCCAGCTTTCAGTGCTGTCACACTTTTAATGACAGTTGTTCAGTCATGCAACACTGTACCCGTATGAAATTTTTATAATTTTTTTCACACAAAGAGCTTTCTCTTGATGGTATGTAATCACCACTGAGTTTTTATTTTTTGCTAAATAAATAAAAAATGACCTAACATATTGAAAAAGAACACCATTTATATATTAATCAATCCAGGTGTACTGATGGCCTATTTAACTTCTTGAGGCCGTAAAATGCCAGAACAGTACATATATCACCCAAATGACCCCTTTTCGGAAACCAGACAGTCCAAGTTATTTAGTAAGAGGCATGGTGGGTTTTGTGAAGTTGTAAATTTTTGTCATAATTTTTTTGAAAATTAAGAAATTAAAATTTTTTTAACATGTTGTCACCAGTCCAGAACAGTGAACTATAATATAACTGGTGTGGCAGTGATCAGGTACACTGACTGGTACAGTATGTAAAAAAAAATACACACTGACCAGAGCAATAGAGTGTTACCACAGGAACACTGTACTACTCTGGGGAGGCGATCTGCATTTTTTTTTACACATCATGATTGCTTATACCAATGTATTTCACTGATATAAGAAACCATTTTTACTGAATGAAACTGATTTTATTCATTATGTTGTGTATTGTTGTGATGAGCTATGATTCTGGGACAACTGACCACCAAGTATTTTAGACCGGATGTGTTGCATACCAGGAGGGGTGAGCAATTCTGCTCAAGCTTACCAAACCTAATCCTTTACTGCCCAAAGTTAATGCCTAAAACAACTGCTTTTTGCTTAACAGCTCATCAGCCATTAATTGAATACCATCCTATAGCTTTATGTGCACCACTTTATGGACAGGCCCCAACAATAGCTGACTTAATACTGCTAAATAGGTGGCAGGTACTTTATAGCCATTTCCAAAGGTGCCCCTTGTCAGGTACACATACACCCACTCACTATTAGGGCTGTATGTATAAAGTATACTCAAGGACATTTCTTTAGATTAGTGATGTCACTATATTGCCCACCTTTTACACCAGCTGAAATTTGGTTTAAATTTACTGAAGTTAGTAACTGCCATATTATATACCACTGTTCACCTTAACCAGTGCAGCATCTTTAAATGTGTTCAGTTGCCTGTTTATTGATTCATGCATTGTCTAACTTGCCTTGCCATAATTCATCTAATTAATCTACTACCAAATTGCTTACGGACTATTTTTGTATGTTTAGGTTGCACGACCAGCTTAAAGAGTCATGGCAGAGCAGAGAACCCATCGTACCAAGTGGCTCTCATGGGGTAAACACTACACATACCAATAGAAAATCTAACACAATGAGCTTGATTTGCTAAAGGCAAGTAAGTGACAGTTAACAAGGGAAGTTGCAGTGTGCAGGAAAATTGGCCCAGAGCCTAGTGAATGTGGTGAAATTTCACTTTGCAAAGAATACCCAATCATGTTAAAGGAAAATAAAAAAAATGTTTTGCTTTCACATGATTGGAATATGAAAGATAGTAGAGGGGTAAATTCCCTAGCAAAATGAACAGTTTGACTTTAGTAAACCATCCCCAATATGTGTTTAAAGAAATAATAAAGGTCAACTAGACCCAAAATTAATATTTTGCTACAGGGTGCACAGTAGCGGTTTGACTAACCAACCAGGCCATCTTACAGAAACATAACAATAGTGTCCATCCCTGCCAACTGGAAACACCAACTATTGAGTTATTCAAAAGCATGAAATATCCAATAAGGAATGTGACAGGATAATTTGGTTTTGTAATAGCTATTGCAGTTTGGTAGAACTGAGAAATCTCATAGACTTATCTCAACCCTGAATAACTTCCAATAAACCACACAAAACTACTATTTTTTTCTGTGGCACTCTGAATTAAATTTTACAAGTCTGATCTATTTAGAAACATCTAGACAGTGATAAAGATCATTTCAATTAGGATTTTTTTTGTGCCCTAATGTATATCATGTTTAGGCATCTCAATTTGGTATGAGCTATGCATTTCTAATAACTAATGAGAGATTAAACAGAGTGCAAATAGTGGGTTAATGCAGGATGTTGGAAGTTGTAAAGCATTTTATTGTACTTGCTATTGCCGTAAATGCACTCACAAAAAAAACCCTGTAAATGTGGTTCTGTGTATATGTGCAGTTTATAAATGCCTTGGAGCCAGTATGATGTGACGTGATGTTTTTTAATAAATGTTGTGCAAATGCAATTACCAATACATTACTCTTTATTTTTTGTGTGTACTAATGTTATTATTATTATTATTATTATTATTATTATTAATAATAAAAAATGTTTTTAAGTGTTTTTTTTTTTAAACTAGACCTTTCTGTTTTTAAAACTGCATCTATATCCAGGTTGGATTTTGGCTTGAACAGTACCATTAAACCTTTCAGTCAATCACACCTGTTTTAAGCTTTTGCTAATGTGTTCTGTTATTATACAAACCTCTAAGGGCCCTATTTCAACTATTCTACAGATAACTATTACTTAATATGGAACTTCAGCTATTAATTGCCCATTCTCAGCATCAGGGTCCAGATCTGAACCTGGGACCTCTTACTTATCTGGCTGTAACTCTTATCGCTATGCCACTTGACATCCTAGACAGCTCCTTGTCTGAGCCCTTGGATAATCTTGCTTGGGTCTTGTTTCTGGTGAACCTTGAACTCTTTGCTCCTCTCATCAACTTCCTTATTTAATCTATGTCTCTGCACTTAGTGTTTGTCATTTTATTGTGCTCTCTCCAGCCAATATCTTATACCTGGCATCTTTGTCTTCGCTACTAATTGTTATCGACCTTTGGCTTATATTCGTTGACTATGCTTCCGCATGATCCCAACCTGCAACTACTTTTTACTGACCTTTGGCTTGTTTACTGACTATGCTTCTGCTTTATCCCAACCTGCTACCATCTGTTACCCCAGCTTGTTCACCTCCTGATGGGGCAATCCTAAGGACTGTGACCTGGTACTAACATGCAGTGAAACCCATCTCCACAATCAGGAGCTCTGGTAAAAACCAGTTAGTGCTTAGACCTTCACCTTGGGTGAGCCTGATCATCCTCCGTGATGACCTGCTTGTGTACTTATCCTGCTGGTCAGCATGAACCTTTCTGCTGCTATAGCCTGACCCCTGACCGTGACACTCTGTGCATATACCTAGAACTGAATTGCTAATAAAGTAGGGCAACAGATGCCATTCTTTTTTGGGTTCCAGGTGTAAAAATGTAGAGTTGTCTCTTTTAGTATCTTTACGCCCAGCCCCAGCAAGTATTCTATAGCAATAATGCATATTTAGTGTGATAGCAAGGCTAACTGGTCACACCCAGGGGCGGACTGACCATTTGGAAACTCGGGCACTGCCCGAGAGCCCGGGGTCAGTAGGGGGACCTATGAGATGCCCCTGGTACCTTTTTCATAGGCTTTTTTTAGTTTGGGCAAGGACACAGGGGCCCCATGATCCCCTATTGCCCGGGGGCCCCATGAGTTGTCAGTCTGCCCCAGGTCACACCTGAGGCTAAAAGGTGGATGATGCAAAAAACTGGTCACAGGGAGCAGAAAGTATAGGTCCAGTCCTGTGTATACCAAAATTTAAGGTTCTATATATAATTTTGCTATTACTTTGTTTCTTCTAACCATTCACAGGCAATTCTCACACATTGCCCCTTCAATTTTCTCCACACGTTCCATTCTCATACCTAAAGCATTTTCTCATCTTCTTGTGTAAAACACCATGTTCAAGGTCCATATGTTACAACTGGTCTAAATATAGTTTAATAACATTTTTATTTTCAAAGCTTTGGATGCTACATTTGTTTTTAATACTAAGTACATTGCTAAGAAACATTTATTTCCTGTTTTTATTCTGTCTTTAATTTCAGCTTTTTCACTTTTCTGAAGTACACAAGTTTAAATAAACGCATAGGGAAGAAAAGAGGGGTGGTAGAGGATGCTGTTCTTGGGTTACTCAGGGAGCAAAATGTGAGACAGCTGGCCATGTCAAAAACAGCCATACTATGTGAATTTTATGTAATATTTATGGATATATTTACATCAAAGTCTGCATTCATGCAAAATATGTAAGCCACAACTGAACCACTTGAACGTATGGGGTTATTCTTTGTATCAGCGATACCTGATATGACCTGGAATTGATAAAGTTAATGCCTCAGATGGTACTATCTTAATTGTAGACAAATATGACACTAGATACAGGATCTCCTGTCTCTATACTGTCTGAGGAAAATCTATGAAAAGTCCTTAACAAATTAACCACTTATTGCACCTACTCTGGCCTTACTAAAGAAACTACAGGATTAGAAGTGGACTGTTCATAGATCCATGGATCTCATCTTTTTCATGAATCTTGTTGTGTCCTGTAGTCTGGGAGGCAGGGATAGTTACAGTAAAGAGTACTTTAATATCAAGGCATCAATAAAACAGGAACTGAAAAATAATTTTACACAATATAGTAGAAAGTATGAAAATTCGAAATGTGGCCTTTTCCTCAAGTTCTGTCCTCTAATTTAACTTATACTGTTGTACAGACTCGGTCAGTGTTTGTGGGATGTGCCAATATGCAGGCCCAAATAAGTACAACTTGTCAAAGGTTGGCATAACATGTCAAAATATCATCTAATTATGTGCAGGGTTTGGATGGCAGGAAGGCTAATTCTAGGAATTCAACAAATCTAGCATTGCAATTCTGAGAAAGTCACATATCAGAAATAATCTGTAATTCACTGTAGAATCACTAATAAATTAGTTATTGTGTTGCAATTGTAGCCTGTGTATTATTCTTTTTTTTATGTGTTTGGTATGTTCCACTGTAACCCCTTCTGTTTGTTCTCATTTAGATCAGCCATTTGGTACTCCAAGCCTCTCCATGTCTGGTTTTAGGTTCTGTTTTATCTTTGTGTTAAGTAAGAAGGCTTTCAGAGAGTAATGTCTTTTGACTTCTAAGAAAACAAAGCAGTCATCATCTGTAATACTCAAAGTTGAAATATAGTACATTGAATTCCATTTCTGGGTTCTTGGCCGCCTGTGATTTTTTTTTTGAGTTAGCAATTTGCCATATTGTCTATACAGACTGTGTCTTGGGAGGTAAGTATTTTGCATAAAATTGTAAAAAAGTAAATAAAATGGAAAGGTTTTGCAGGATTACAACACACATACAAAATGTTGTATTAGCATATAGAGTATAACATATTGATATCTTACAAGTTTTAAGTGATCTTTAGGACTGGGTCTCACCCAATACAAGACTATAGAACATATTTTTCTACATCGATGGTCAAGCCCTTAATTTTTAGGACGCAGATTCAGTTCAGACCCTTTACACAGAGATGTAACTAGAAAAAAGCTTCATGGAAGTGTGTGGCCACCAAGATTTTTGCTCATAAGAGAGACTTAGTGAAAATTGGTTCATAGCAGTGTTATAGCAGATCAGAGAGAGAGAGAGATATTTTCAGAGTTCTATCAGGGATAGGTAAATGCTGGTTGTCTGAAATTGTCACTTTTTTTATATTGAGACATAGTGTTTTTTGTTTTAGCTATCTAGGTAGATATATACAGTATTTCTGTGTGTGTCACAGTAACATATTTTGTTGCTATTTAACTGTAACATCATCTATTTTATATTTATTTATTTATTTTGGTGTGGGGGGGGGGTGCTTAATTTATTTTATGCAAAGTTTTATTCTTTCAGATTTATTAGAAATTAGGAGTTCTGGTTTAGTGTTTGGCAAAAGTGTTCAAAGGCTGCACATGTAATTACTAAAATATCTTGGGTTCTTTTTTGCCAGTAAAATAAATTCAGTGGAATATTGATTTTTGTAATGAAAAGCTGGCTGGTAACAAGTGGCTTAGTCATTGTTTTTAAAGACTGTAGACCTTTTCGTGCTGGTCATATACAGTATATAGATATATATTTTTTGTTTTTATTTTGAACTTGAAGTGTTAGTTCATCTTTTCAGAAAAACTGAAAAGATTAAATAACATCCTACACCTTTCGCACCAGGATGGATCAAAATGGTTTCAATTGGTCAGGATGGTCATGTGCCAAAACTGTGTAATCATAACCGCTCTAATCCATGCCTGCATCCCTAGGAAAAGAAGGGAAAAAACATCATGGTTTTCAAACCCCAGGACCTCTGTACTGGGCTGCGTGAATGATGAAACTGTATCATGCATAAAAGAAAGTGCAGCAGGGACCAGGGGGTTTGGTGAGGGTGTAGGGTGTTAAGTAATTTTTTTCTGAAAAGGTCAACTCACACTTTAAGGAACTGACAAACCTTTTTTTTCTGTATCTTAAATCTAAATAGTAGAGACAACATAAAATAAATTACAAATACCATGGTATTATTTCAGAAAGAACAGCCAGGAAAATTGTACAGACTCTTTAACAGCATGTGAGCACTTTTCAACGGGAGAAGTCAAGTAGGTTTTTAATAAAGAAATCAAAATTAGAGTGTATTCCAGATATATTGCACAGATTGGATGCATACTATGAAAGCAACTTTAGTCACAGAAGGCAGATTTTAATCAATAAATCCAAATTAGAGTATAATACTTCAATGAAAAAAATCACAAATGTTGTGCAGAATTTATGAACACTAAAGCAGTTCAAATAGACTGCAGTTTAAGAGGGCCATACCAGGCAGGTGTTCATAAAAAAAATCGAAATAATTGTATATTAATTCACAGAAAAAAAAAAACAGAAATGTTTTACAGACTTGATTCATACAATATAAGTAGCTTTATTAGGCCACAGTTTGAGAAAGGGGGATCAGAGAAGTTCTAAGCAATAAATCACACTATAGTATATTAATTCACGGAAAAAGACATACCGTATTTTTCGCTCCATAAGACGCACCTAGGTTTTAGAGGAGAAAAACAAGAAAAAAAATATTCTGAACCAATGGACTGCAGACACAGTACAGGGATGACCAGAGACTGCGGACACAGTACAGGGCATGACCAGAGACTGCGGATGTAGGACAGGAGATGACCAGAGACTGCGGATATAGGACAGGAGATGACCAGAGACTGCGGACACAGTACAGGGGATGGACCAGAGACTGCGGACACAGTACAGGAGATGGCCAGAGACTGCGGACACAGTACAGGAGATGGCCAGAGACTGCGGACACAGTACAGGAGATGGCCAGAGACTGCGGACACAGTACAGGAGATGGCCAGAGACTGCGGACACAGTACAGGAGATGGCCAGAGACTGCGGACACAGTACAGGAGATGGCCAGAGACTGCGGACACAGTACAGGAGATGGCCAGAGACTGCGGACACAGTACAGGAGATGGCCAGAGACTGCGGGCACAGTACAGGAGATGGCCAGAGACTGCGGACACAGTACAGGAGATGGCCAGAGACTGCGGACACAGTACAGGAGATGGCCAGAGACAGTGGACACAGTACAGGAGATGGCCAGAGACTGCGGACACAGTACAGGAGATGGCCAGAGACTGCGGACACAGTACAGGAGATGGCCAGAGACTGCGGACATAGTACAGGAGATGGCCAGAGACTGCGGACACAGTACAGGAGATGGCCAGAGACTGCGGACACAGTACAGGAGATGGCCAGAGACTGCGGACACAGTACAGGAGATGGCCAGAGACTGCGGACACAGTACAGGAGATGGCCAGAGACTGCGGACACAGTACAGGGATGACCAGAGACTGCGGACACAGTACAGGGAATGACCAGAGACTGTGGACATAGTACAGAAGACCAGAGACTGCAGACAGTGCAGGGGATAACCAGAGACTGCAGACAGTAAAGGAGATTACCAGAGACTGCGTACCATTGGGGAGGGAGGGGGAGCGGGTACCTGAATTTGACAAGTACCCGCTCTCACTTCCACGGAGTTGTCTTTCCTTCTTCTTTCCGCGGCGGCTTCTATGACAGCCGGGTGCCCACTGGACATGCGCGAGAAGCATTGCACTTTGTGAATGGCCTGGAGCCTTCTGGGACCTGTCATGTGTCCCAGAAGACACCGGACCATTCACAAAGCGTGGCGCTTCTCATGCATGCGCAGTGGGCACCCGGCTGTCACAGAAGCCACCGCGGGAAGACTGTAGCGCTGGAGCGAGGAACAGGTAAGGCCCTGCAGGAGAGAAGAGCTAAGCGGCCGGCCCGATATTCTGATATGGTGGCGGCAGAAATACCGGACCGGCCGCTTTACATTCGCTCCAAAAGACGCACTGACATTTCCCCCCTTTTTTTTTGGGGGAAAAAAGTGCGTCTTATGGAGTGAAAAATACGGTATATATTCTACAGATTCAATGCATAGTAT